TTGGTAGCCGACATGAACTCTCCAAAGTCAGGCCAAAGCTTTGTTTCGTTTCGCGCTCGGAGCGGAATTGCCTACCAAAGAAACATAGAAACAACACCGCATTCGGGGATATGACGAGGGTTGACGCAAGCCAAACAGTTTGGCCAGCGTCACGCGATCTTCTCTTTTCTCTCAAGCTCGAGTTACGATTATCCACTCCACGATGCAACTTCACTTCGGAGGTGCGCTGCAGGGCAACTGTAGGGGCTTTCTTTTTATATTCTATTCATAGCACGTTCAAATCCTTGATCGCATTCGAGCTCAGGGAAGAGCGTGTCCGCTATGTAGTGCTGTTGATTGTCTTATCGTGCCGGTGTGTAGGCGCATGAGCAGTTCTCTCTTGAGTTCTAAGAATGTAATGTGACGTGTTTCCGTGGTGGTTTCGTGGTGGTTTCGTGGTGGTTTCTTGGTGGTTTCGTGGTGGTTTCGTTCGTGGTTTCGTTCGTGTCGTTTCTGCATCTGCCTCGGAGAGAGCTGATATATACGAGCGGGATCATGCTCTCCGTGATTGAGTTGTGTATAATCTATAATCGATAATCTTCTCAACCCCGCTGTCATGGCAGCAACACTTCAAACGCTGGCAGATCGGACTCAAACATACCATGCAAATACACCACCCCCACACTCTCACCCCCTCACCCAACGCTCACCCCACCCGTTTCATCGTTATCTTACGCCCCTGCCACCCCTCAACCTCACCCTCAGCCCCTCCCTCAATCCCAATCCCATGCGCCACATGCGCCATATCCGCCCACTTCCAAAGCGAGCGTATCATATAGAGCACCTTGTTCTTGGTACATGATAGGTATCCGACCAGGCCCGGCCTTCTCCATTCGACACCATTTGATGTTTGTACGACCCAGAATAATGTCCGCGTCAGCGTCTCCGTCGACAGACAGACGCAGAGAGCGATGACTATTCAAGAGCAGGGAGAGGGAGACCAGTCGATTAGTTATTAGGTTAGTAGATGAAGATTTTGGCTTCGGGCAGTGTCATAAGTACGATCTGACATCTCAGACTCGAGTTACGATTATCCACTCCACCATTAAAGTTCGGACGTGCGCCACAGGAGGTCACAGGGCAACTGCAAGCGCTTAAAGTAGAGCACGTCCAAATCTTGATTGGGTGAGAGCTCAGGGCTGCTCAGGTAGGAGCGTTCCGTTCCGTTAGCGCTGTTGATTATCGTTATCGAGCCGGTGTGTAGGCACACGAGTAGAGTCCTCTCTAAGTCTTGAAAACATTTCGTGGTTTCTTGGTCTTGGTTTCGTGTCGTTCCAGCATCCGACTCGCAACTCGGGTGCTGGGAGCATAGCAACCTTAGCACGTACCCGCCTCCCGCCTCTCGCTCTCGTACCTCTCGTCCAACTCGTGCCTCATCGCACGGCCATGAATTCACTCTCTATGATTGTGAGAGAGAGAGTCATGGAAGGGCACATACAAATACACCACCCCCCCTCTCCCACCCCCCTATTCTATCCCATCCCATCCCATCCCATCCCATTCACACCACCCTAACCTCCTCCCTCCACATCACCTGCCCCTCTAGCTTCCATCCAGGGCACTGCAGGCTCTAAACCAACCTCACCCCCCCCTCCACCCCCTCCACCGGCGCATCATCCTCCACCCCATCCGCCACATTCGCACTCCCCCACGGCGGCCTATATTGATTCCCATTCCTCCCACCTCCACCTTCCAACGAATCGACGGCGATGGGGGAGGGAAGCTCGGCGAGGGCGGGGTGTTTGTGGGGGTGCAGGGCGGAGTGGTGGATTACGGCTGCTGCTAGGAGGGCTAGGCGTCGTTGTTGTCGTCGTTGTCGTTGTCGGAGGAGTCGTTGTCGGAGGAGTCGTTGTCGGAGGATGAGGCGGGGTAGGAGGAGGAGGGCAAGAGGAGGAGGAACAGGGGGTAAGTGGGGGTGGGGGCGGGGAGTGGTTGGTTAGGAAGAGCAGAAGGAAGAGGAGAAGGGGGGGCTTAGCTTACAGAAGGGGATTACGAGCCATAGAAGGGTGTTGACTACGTTGAGGACGCAGCCGTTGCATTTGATAGGGGCGATGGGGAAGAGCTGGGATACTGTATGTTGGAGAGAGCGTCAGCCTGAGGGTATGAGAGAAAGAGGAGGAAGAGGAGGAAGAAAGAGAGGAAGAGGGAGAGCAGGAGGAGGAAGAGGAGGAAGAGAATGAAGGGCGTACCTAGGACGATGGTGGCTAGGAAGAGGAGGACGACGAGGTGCGTAAGCGCGCGCGTGAGGAAGTGTGTGGAATGGCGTTGGTTGGCGTGCCAGTGTCTGCATTTCAGGACACAGTAAGTAGCGAGGATCGCGTTGATAGATGAAGTATATTGTATATGCACGCACAGTAGGGAGACGCTGGAGAATGTTAGCACGCCCATGGCGATTTGTTGGGCTATTACCCTCCCTGCTCGAAAGAAAGCACAATCAGCGAACAGCGCACAAACGGAAGCATAGCGCAAAACGCACCATTGTCCCCTACGCCCTGCTCCATCCCCGCGCCTTCTTGGATCCCTACAATCGCCAGCACGACCACCGACGCTCCGAGGATCTCTAGCACGCCTGATCAAACCCAGTCAGCCGTTGATCGAGGTAATACCAAACGAAAAGAAGAAAGACGCGAAGAAAGACGCGAAGCAAGAAGAAAGGAAAGAAGAGTGCTTACCGTAGTACGTCCGATGATCCCAGAACACATTCTTTTGCCAGTGCCGCCAGATGGCGCGGGGGTGTAGGGAGGCTGCTTCGGCTAATTCGGGGTCGGAGTCGACGATGCGGAAGGTTGCGAGCGGCATTTTGGGCGGGTGGACGTGGCGTGTCGCGTGCGGTGGGACGGTGTTCAGAGGTTGTAGGGTGGTGGTGAGGACTCGGAGGAGGAGGAGGTGGAGGAGGAGGAGGAAGAGGAGAGGATTAGTGGATTAGAGAGTTACGCCGGACCCGCGCCCAGCGTGAGAAGTAGCTTTTAATAATCGTTGACTCTGAGCGCGGCGCGGTGTACTGTGTTCTGATCATCAACGGCTGTACGACGGCTGCAACGGCTGCACCGCTTGTGGACAGGTTGCGTGTCATTCTCCTGCGAGAGAGATGAGAGTGGTGGACGTTCATTCGTATACATACGTATAAGGCGAGCGACGTGCCTCAGCGAGCGTGCCTCCGACCTCGCGCGTCCGTTCCGGCTTCCGGGCGGTGAGATGTCGCTTCGACATCATTGCATCAAGTGAACTGTCCCTCCGCGACAATGTAAAAAGCTGGTTTTTGGTGTACTCTGTCAAGTGAAGGAGGATGTGCCATATAGATTTACACACAAACCTACACCTCTCATCACACCCAGCGCGTCCATTAACCCCACGTGATATCTCCCAAATGCATGACGTCACGCGTCTCTCTCTCTCTCTCTCTCTCTCAACCGCCTCCCAATCCCTGACGTTACTTCTTAGCTCACAAATCACGCGCCCAAACGCAACATCATCCCCTACGTAGCCGCAGAACGCATCCACAAATCCCCGCAACGCGATTGGTTGTGTCCCAGAGCCTTAGCATCACCTATGACCTCACTCTCTTATGTTCCACCGATCGACACAGCAAGAAGCGAGGAAGGCAGGAAGTGAGACCCGATATAGAAAGGACATGGCTGGAATGGAGAGAGAGCAAGGACTGTTGGCTGTTACATAAAGTGCATATAAAGTTGACAGGAAGCTATCATGTTCGCGCGCTCTCTTACTCGCACTTCTACCCGCCTCTCTGTGTCTGCCTCCAAATCGCTCTTCCGCACCGCACCTACCAAGCCGCTGAGGTATACGCAGACTCCGAACGCTTACTCGCCAATCGCTTTTTCTAGAACCATGGCTACGCAAACCCAGACCCTCCTCCGCGCCATCGCCGAAGACCACCAAGAGGTTCGTAGTCTAGTCTATTCACGCTGCTAGTCGTATACTGACATACTCCTGCGGTAGATGTACGCCTTCTACGACAAATACGTCCAATCCAACGGCGACGCCGACGCGCAAGAGCGCTGGTCGCGCCAGCTCATCTGGGAGGTCGCGCGGCACGCTATCGGCGAGGAACTCGTCGTGTACCCGCTGATGGAGAAGCACCTCGGTGCGGAGGGGAAGAAACTCGCTGATGAAGATCGGGCGGACCACCAAGTACGTTCCTCCCCCTTCCCCCTCCTTCCCTTCCCCTTCCCCCCTCCTTCCCTCTTCCCCTCCCCCTCCCTCTCCCCCCTTCCCTTCCGTCTTCTCTCTCCCTCCTTCCTTCACGAATGTAAGAAACGCAACTCACCCCCACCCCAGTACGTCAAAAACCAACTCTACGCGCTCGAAAAACTCTCCGCCGGCACCCCCGAGCACGCCGCCACGCTCAAAGACGTCATGGACCACCTCCACCCGCACAACGACTCCGAGGAGACGCACGACCTGCCGCTGCTCGAGAAGGCGATTGGGCAGGCGAGTTCGATGGAGGCGGCGGGGAGTTTTAGGAGGACGAAGAAGTTCGTGCCGACGAGGAGCCATCCGAGTGCGCCGAATAAGCCCCCGTTTGAGACGCTGGCGGGGTTGATGGCGGCCCCGATGGATAAGTTGAAGGATGTGTTTGCTAAATTCCCGAAGGAGGAGGAGGTGGACAAGGTGGAGAGCGAGGCGAAGAAGAATGTGAATGTCCGCAACTGAAATGAGTCTGTCTGTTTGGTGTATTATTATGTATTAGATTGAGCTTTGAGAATGTGTACTCTATCGAATTGGCCTGTTGTCTTGTGGATTGTGAAAGCTCTGAAGGCGATGGAAATGTTGTCGGGCCCTTCTCGTCGGAAGAAAAACATCCTCCTCTCTCTCTCTCTCTTTCTCTCTCTCTCTCTCTCAATCCTTTAATTAACCAACCTTCAATCCTTCAATCCACCTTGTACAACAACAAAAAAGAAGAACAAAAAAGGCAAAAATTGAAACTTGTAGAGGGAGACACATGACCGAGACAGGGGTCGAACCTGCGATCTCCTGATCACTATTATAGAACAGTACCATCAAGACAGTACCACAGTTCAGTAATCGTAGTCAGACGCGATGCCATTTCGCCACACGGCCGTGAAGGGAGTTGGGGTTTGGTATATACAGTATGAAGCACGCTGGATTTACCCACGTGGGGGGAGAGCAAGTGGGAGGTTGAAGATGAGTTACGATTGAGGATTTAAGGAGTTAAGCGGATGCGAGAGGTTGGGGTGAAGCGCGTGATTTCTGAAGACATCATCCGAGGCGCCGGTGATGTGGAGGGTGAGGGGAAGGGTGGGATTGGGGATAGGTCGCTTTGGAAGTGGGCGCATGTGGCGAATGGAATGTGGCGCATGTGGTCGAGGGATGGGGCTGAGGTTGATGGGGCTGAGGTTGAGGTTGGGGGGGTGGTAGGGGCGTAAGATAAGATAAAACGGGTGGGGTGAGCGTTGGGTGAGAGACGGAGGAGGGTGGGGTGAGAGAGAGAGGTTGGGTGGTGTGTTTGTGTGGTATGGTATGGTATGGTATGGTATGTTGAGTCGGATCCACCAGTGTTTGAAGTGTTGCTTCGATCGATGACAGCCGGGTTGAGAACTGAGAAGATTACACATACACGACTCAATCACGGAGAGCATGATCCCGCTCGGATATATCAGCTCTCTCCGAGGCAGATGCAGAAACGACACGAACGAAAGCACCACGAAACCACGACACATTACATTCTTAAGACTTAAAAGAGAACTGCTCATGCGCCTATGTACACACCGGCACGATAAGATACTCAACAGCACTACATAGCTGACACGCTCTTCTCTGAGCTCGAACGCGATCAAGGGTTTGGACGTGCTGTGAAATAGAACAACTGACGGAAGCACGAATGGCCGCTTTGCGGGGTAGCGCTGCGTCGCGTTGGTATTCTCGTAGCCATTGTAGGCACGTATACCAATCACGACGGTGCTCAGGCAGAGAGTCGGGCTGAGAAATGAGAAATCACGCAGCGTTGATCCTGAAGTCTGAGGAAAGAATTAGCCGGGTTGAGAAGAGTTACACGGCTCAATCGCAGAGCTTTTGATTTTATCCCGCTCTTGATCGCAGAGAGCATTTGATTTGATCCCGCTCTTGAACGTCAACCGCACTCGAGTCGATGCTGAAACGACGAAACGACGAAACCACGGACCATAAGCATAATAGAGGACTATACTCATGCGTCTACAGACAGAGCGGCACGATAATTCAACAGCACTAACTTAACGGAACGCTTCTACCTGAGCTCTCACCCGATCAAGATTGGGACGTGCACTGGAAATCCAGCGTCGCTCCCTGTTGTTCCCTTCGGAGAACTAGAAATGATCTACACTCCATTTATGCATCTTAATCTTATCATGGATGACAATCACCTTTTCGCTGCTTGCAGCACGACAATGAATTGACTGCGATCGCCTCGGAATATTCCAGGCCAGAGAGAGTACTACATCTACACATTTGCTATCCTATAGATAGCACTCGGCAGCCCTACAACCAACCTACACTGCAATCCTGCAATTTGCGGACGCGTCTTGGGCGCGTCGTGTAAGAAACGAGAAGCTACGCGTCGAGCAGAACATTTCAGCCAGAAGACCACAAACAGTAAATATGTCGATGATTTCAAAACATAGGTACACAGCAGTCCTCAACGTAGTCGACATCTTTCTATGGCTCGTAATCCCCTTTTGTGAGCCCTTTTCCCTCCCCCTCCCCCTCCCCTCTCCCCTCCTCTCCCCCCTCCCTGTCCTCCCTCTTCCTCTTCCTCTCTTTCACTCTTCCCTCTTCCTCCCTTCCTGACCCCCTACCCCCAACAACCCTATTTGCAGCTGAGCGCAAAATAAGAATAGAACGGGATGGGGTGAGCCTTGGGTGGGAGAGAAGGAAGATGGGGAGGAGGATGGCGGTGGTGTGTTTGTGTGATATGGTATAGTTGAGTCGGACCAGCGTTTGAAGTGTTGCCTCGATACTTCGGGGAACAGCCGGGTTGAGAATTGAGGAGATTGTACATACACGACTCGATCACGGAGAGGATGAGATCGCAGGACGTGTCGAGTCTCTCCGAGGCAGATGCTGAAATTACACGAACGAAACCACGAAACAATCTTGAGATTAAGATTCAGAGAGAGCTGCTCATGCGCCTACGTACACATCGGCACGATAAAATCAACAGCACCAGCCGGACGATCTCCCTGAGCTCTTCACCCGATCAAAATCAAGATTCGGACGTGCTGTAAAAATAAAGACTGAGAAACCACGCAGCGCTGATCCTGACGTCTGAATAATTTACCGAGAACGGGGATACATACGACGAGGTGTGATGGGAAAGGTAGAGTATCGGTTGAGTTGGTGATGCGGGTTGCGACAAAAGCCAATACTTAGACGAACGGAAACATCGTGTCTGCCTCTTCCGATAGCCATTCATTATATGATTCTATTGTAAAAAGCTGTCACAGTTGCACAACAGTTGCAAGTCCATACCCGAATATGATCCTGAATAGGATAGAGAAATGAAGCTCTAGACGACTCTAAGCCACTGTCATAACATAACGGAGCGCCAGAAGATGTTGAGATTGAGAAAACAACGAGGACTGTGTAATTGGACTCACGACCGGTTGGGAATTGAGAGGCGGTGAGGCTGGGTTAGTGATAATCCCCAGGCTATTGGTCGTCGGGAAGTACCAAATGTAGGTAGTTGGTGAACCTAGTTTACAGAACGTCAGAGACTAAGACGAGCCATAGAAATTGGGTAGAAGCCCTTGCCTCCGTTGGGGTTTATCCATTGTGCTGATCGGTAAAAGGTTAGAGTAGGTAGTACAATGGCGATACCAAGGACCTACGCGTGAGACGTTGATTGCTTGGATTGTATGACCAGATGGCAGATTCTGATTTAGGCTGGAAGATTGATGAATACGAGTCAAATGGAAGCGGGGTCGAGGTCATCGAACTTACTTGATTTGCTTGACGACTGTTTCCTACAACAGAAGGAACACTTCCGGGAGAGGCTATACAACAGCGTGAGCGCCAGTGACATTACCCTTACTATGGAAAACATTACTAGGATTTGTTCTGACCATCACATGTGGTGGTTGGTTGGTCCTGTGTAAGCAACCGTCTTGTCACTACTTTTCATTTGCAAATACGGAAAGGCTGCCGCTCACAGGGTGTCTCCGGCAAAACCAAGATAAGGATGCGTTCCGGGGTTCTAGATACAGATCAGAACGACGCTTCCAGTATTGGCCTCAAAGGAGTACATACATTGATTAAAATGTTGAAAGGAGCGGCACCAGCACCCATAGTGGGTGTAAAGGTAATCGTCATTGCGTTGGAAGTGCTTCCGGTTCTGCCAAACCTAGATATTGTGAACTTAGCTGAATTACTGTATGAGAGAAGTTCCAGAGAGTGATACTTACCCAAAAATATTAGGTATACTGTCAATGTAACCCAAGAATCCACCACTGGTCGTCCTTATTTCTACGCGTGAAGTGATGCTAACAAACATCTGGTATATTACTGCGCAGACAGGTCCCCAGAGAAAGCAAGACTCACGGTGGAATGATTGATGTCTGCGGAGTACGAGCTGTAGGGAGTGAGTGTCAAAATGGTCTATTGGGATCAGTGGACCGTGTAGAACTTGCCTCCAATGCGAGTTGGATGGTACATATTCCTCGGTTTCAGAGGTGTCAGCCCTGCTGCCATGCGAGCAGCGTTTGTCGTGAGTGTGGCAGGATCAACATGCGCAACGTCCTGCCTGCCTGCAAGACCTTGCTTCCCAAATTGCGCCCGTCCAGAAACATTGGCGCCTAGGTTAAAGATCGTGATGATAAAGAGTGACAGCCAGGTAGAGTATAGCATGGTGTTCGGACGTCGTGCACGACGGTGGATATTCAAATTTTGGAAATTGAAAAGGCAGGAAGCAGTCGGTTACAGAGCAAGGATCAAGACAAGGACTTGAGCCTCTGTACTTATGATCAATTCTAGGTACAACAGGGACATGGATTCTTGACAGGCGGAATGTGTGGGTGTTGTAGTCAAGTAATTAGGTGAGCGAGGCTTGAAAACAGAAAAATCGACCCTAGGTCGGATTTATTTTTGCCGGTGCACCATAGCCCAAAGATTGCAGTTTTACCGGGGACGAACCCCGAATTTCCGAGACCCCGCTGTCGCTGCAGCAGATATCACAATTGAGTCTAGCGCCAGTTCAAGTGAAGTAATCCTGTAAGGAAGGAAGACAAAAGACCAGAGTCAAGGATGCAAGCATAACCGAATATAACGTACAATTCGTGCCCTTGATGTTTGTGCCTTGTTCCTCAAATGAACCAGTTGCTCGATAACTCCTGTTTCGGGTGGTTTGGACAAAATTGCGCCAATGCCAACGGCGTATTTCGGAATTCGGGAGACTCCTATCGAGAACTCAGTCATGGAAGAAGGCCTGTCGTCATATTTCCATCTTGAATTGAACTAAAGAGGTGATGTGAGAGTCAGCTTCAAAGGCAAATTTTTCACCATACACGCTCAGGTTATTCTCCGGCAAGTCACTCCTTACTTACTTGAATGCAAGAAGATGCCCAACGTCGTTGATTTTGGAGATGCATTCAGCCAATGACGTTCTAGTTCAGGTCATCATGTGAGTAACACACAGAGAAAATTAAAAAACGACAGATTCAGAACAAACTGAACAACTCGACGATAGAGTGTCAAATATACATTGTAAAGACGATCCGCGGGATGATTTCGTAAGACTACGTTTAAAAGGATGCAAAATCCAAATGAAAATATGTATGAGCCCCAAGAATCTTCAAGCCCAGTATACAGGTTCCGAATCAGGCACGAGCGCTAACCAACGAAGAAATGATCAACATCGGTTAAACAACCTTCAGAAACTGCGGCTTCACAGCTCAATGATGAGATTTCAGGTAAGCCCTTCCCCCTACCCTGTACCCCCTTCCTCTATTCACTCTTTCACTCTTCACTCTTTATTCTTCCCACATTCTGACCCCCTACCTGTAAGCGTGGGGATATCTCTCGACATCCATACCTACGCTTACCACACACACACCCAAGGACGCGCCGAT